TTCGTCCAGAGTCAAATCACTACCACCCTCCAGCAGGCGTTCTTACACTTTCGAGTGCTTCGTCCCCACGATTAGCTGTTCTATCAGGCGATCGTTAGTCTCCTGAGCGTCCCTGAACTTGCACTTGGACGTCTTCTTCTTACACCTCGCAAAGAAATCATCTACAGACTCGTCGGGTTGCTGGCGGTATTTCTGAAGCTCAAACCGAGCCAATCCATACATCCTGTACACACACCTTGTACACACTCTCTCTAACGGTCTCTAGGCTACACTGCAATTGATATACATTAGCTCAAATTTTCGGGCAAGGCCCATCATCAGGAATAAGTTTACTGTAGACAGAACAGGGGTTTATATATATGTGACAAGTACTAGTGGCCAAAGTGTGATGGTATAGCAATACCACAGGAAGCGAGATTATAATTCTGTGTGATATGTATGAAGTGAAAATATAGTGCAGTGATAGTGCAGGATTACTAGCGTGAGTACAAAGCAGAACAATACACACTTCTAGCAACACTCACACACATACATACACACACACACAGTGCACACATTCTTGCACAAATTATGGTAATGACAGACATATTTACACATCACCCAACAGTCGCCAACCATTGTCACTGTTCACTGCCGGCTTCCTCTTCCTCATGAATAGTGCCTCCATGATTCTGCGGTCAACGTATGACCGTTGCCTGCGGGCGAGAACTTGCAGATGGGCGAATGGTGAAAACTGCGGTGACGATGGGAAGGTGTGCTGCTTTTGTCGATAATGATCTCCCCATGGCTTTCCCAATGTCGCATTCTTGGCTTGTCTGTAGTGCTCCTCGGTCCTCTTGCGTGTTGTCCTTTCTGTTTCCCCGACGTATTCTTCTTGACAGATGGTACATGTCATGGAGTACACCACATCTTGGGACATACAAGCATCACGCTTCAGACCACCATCGCATGCACGACATTCAGCCGGCCGACCCCGCCGCCTCTTCTCCCTCTGCTGCTGTACCGTCCTGGGGCATTGTGGCTTGCTGAATGACGACGAGACCAACATATCCTTTAGTGAGCGACCGGACGTAAAGACCACACGCACATCTCTATCAAACGACCTGACCACTTGACGAACCCTCCTTGCAAGCTGGTCATTTACGTACGGTACCTTGACAAGTGACGTGTACTGTCGTTTCCCCTTCCGGTGTGGTGTCTGCTGGTGGGGCTGCTCTCGGATGCGTGCGGTTGTCCGTGCGGTGTCGGAGTGTTGTATGGCTGATTGTATAATGCTCCGTGGGTAGTGGTTATCAAGGAGGAGTGCGGTGATCTTTTTAATCCCCCGTTGTCGTCCTGCCTCCGTTGTTGCGTTGTTGACTGCCCTGCGGATCTGGTTGTTGGCGACAGCGATTTTTGTTTCCATTGGCAAAGCAGACAAATACGACAAATGTACACCACTATGGGACGACTTGACAAATAACTCCCAGTCCAACTTGCCACCTGACACCGAGATTGACAGGTCCAAGAAACTGATGGTGTGAGAGTTGGTCGCGTGTGTATATTCTGCGGTGAATTGTATGCGCGGGTGGCGGGAATTGAGATAATCAACAAATGCCAGAAATGCCGCAATACCAAAGATCCAAACGAGTATGCAATCATCAATATACCGACGATACAAGAGCGGTTTCAGGGGATACTCAGACAGGGCACGTGACTCGAACTTTGACATAAAGATAATAGCCAATGGGGGCGCGAGGTGGTTGCCCATAGCTAGACCCTGCTGCTGTCGATAGATGGCGCCGTCAAACTCAAAGAAATTTGACTCGAGGACAAACATGAGCATTTCGCGTATGTCTGATAATGACAGTGCGAACATATCAACTGATTCCTCATGCTCTTCCAATAACTCTATGGCCGCATCGATGCTTTCTTGAATAGGAATATTCGAGTACAATGACACAACGTCCAGAGACGCCACAATACATTCCTCTGGGAGGTTTTCGAGGTTGCGCAACGCCGTCATACAATCTTCAGTACTCGATAAATGTGCAGGTACGAATGGAAGCAACTGCGTAAGAATGCGCTCAAGCAGAAGTGAAATACTGCTGGTCGGGCTACCGCATGTCGATACCACGGGGCGGAGTGGGAGGCCAGGCTTGTGGTCTTTGGGGAGTCCATAGAAGGTGGACATTTGCGAGTTGTGTGGCTTCAGTGCACGAGTGAGTGGTGGTGGGATTTTTCCGGTAGTAATGTCCTCTGCTATCCCAGCAGATGTCTTGTCCAGTTCGTTCACGGTAATGTCGGACCTCTCGTAGTTGACCTCACAGCTGAGCATTTGTTCAATTTTGGACATGTAGTGTGTTTTAGCCATGACAACAAACCCCTTGCTCTTGTCGGACGGCTTGATTATGATGCTTTTGTTCTCACGTAGGTCTCTGATCATCGTTCGTTCTTTTCCCGTCAGATGTCGAAGTGGAGTCTTCTGGGGCGCCGTCATTGCCATCTCCCTCCTGTACAGCATAGTGAGGTTCTCCCGGAGCCTTCTCATTTTTCCTTCCTCTTCCCTTTCCATAAGTGGTGGCTGTTTCTCCGTCGTAGCTATTTCACACTTTGGCCACTAGTACTTGTCACATATATATAAACCCCTGTTCTGTCTACAGTAAACTTATTCCTGATGATGGGCCTTGCCCGAAAATTTGAGCTAATGTATATCAATTGCAGTGTAGCCTAGAGACCGTTAGAGAGAGTGTGTACAAGATGTGTGTACAGGATGTATGGATTCAAGTATTGGCTACAGTGGAGTCTCCAAACCTTGAGAAAAGTGTCAAACCGAGCCAGTCGTGCATTTACCCGTGGCTGCAAATGCTTATTAAATTTCTTGAAGACGGCAGCTACTTTGGATTTGTCGCTTGCATTATCCCACTCGAAACTATTGAAAGCATCAACACCAATTCTCCCGATCCATAGCATGACATAGGCGACCTTTTCCTTGTCGGACTTGTCGGAAAAGGGCCCTTGGAAAACTAGAAGGCAGTATTGTTGGAACCGCTCGAATTCGTCAGGTAAATCTGCGGCTTGCCAATCCATCGACGGCGGGGTAAATACGGCTGCTTCTGCCATTTTACCTCTTGCACCGGTGGCGCTACTGCGACAATTCTAGGGCGTTTATTTAGTTTACTTCTGACACCATGTTTCGGGGTAAACAAGTTAGTTGTTTACGATAGGATTATATTCTCACTTGGCCATTGTAAGCAAATCATAAGAACCCCGACATCTGAAGGATCCTGCATGAAAGTAGGCAGCTGCGAGATGCGTATCTCGCGCATGCTCTTGCATGGCTATGTAATGCATTACGTAATGCATTACATGGTAATACAACACTGTGAACACCTTGAGTGGAGAGCGCTTGCTCGAGCGTTGAACCGGGTTCTTAATCCACCATACCCAGTTCGCAAAGCTGGGCGGGTTGTGAGCAGGCTTTCATTTCATCTTTTCATATTATTTCTGCTTTTCATCTCATTACAAAAATTCTGCGCATTTTTTCTCCATCTGTGCATAAAATCTAGACTGACAACGTACTTGTTAAATCATGCACCTGCTTTCAGGCGTAAAAACCCTGTTGTAGAGGTCTCAGTCCTCATTTGTTAGACTTACCTGTCTTTATAAATGTAACTTACTCTCTCTCTCTCTCTCTCTCTCTCTCTTTCTCTCTCTCTCTCTCTCTCTCTCTCTCTCTCCCTGCTCTCTCTCTGTCTCTCTCTCTCTCTCTCTTTCTCTCGCTCTCTTTCTCTCTCTCTCCCTGCTCTCTCTCTCTCTCTCTCTCTCTCTCTCTCTCTCTCTCTCTCTCTCTCCCTCTCCCTGCTCTCTCCCTCTCCCTGCTCTCTCTCTCTCTCTCTCTCTCTCTCTCTCTCTATTTCTCTCTCTCTCTCTCTCTCTCTCTATCTATCTATCTCTCTCTATCTATCTATCTATATATCTATCTCTTTCTCTCTATCTCTTTCTCTCTTTTTCTCTCTCTCTATCTCTCTCTCTCTCCCTCTCTCTCTCTCCCTGCTCTCTCTCTCTCTCTCTCTCTCTCTCTCTCTCTCTCTCTCTCTCTCTCTCTCTCTCTCTCTCTCTCTCTCTCTCTCTCTCTCTCTCTCTCTCTCTATCTTTCTCTCTCTCTCTCTCTCTCTCTCTCTCTCTCTCTCTCTCTCCCTGCCCTCTCTCTCTCTCTCTCTCTCTGTCTCTCTCTCTCTCTCTCTCTCTCTCTCTCTCTCTCTCTCTCTCTCTCTCTCTCTCTCTCTCTCTCTCTCTCTCTCTCTCTCTCTCTCTCTCTCTCTCTCTCTCTCTCTCTCTCTCTCTCTCTCTCTCTCTCTCTCTCTCTCTCTCTCTCTCTCTCTCTCTCTCTCTCTCTCTCTCTCTCTCTCTCTGCTCTCTCTCTCTCTCTCTCTCTCTCTCTCTCTCTCTCTCTCTCTCTCTCTCTCTCTCTCTCTCTCTCTCTCTCTCTCTCTCTCTCTCTCTCTCTCTCTCTCTCTCTCTCTGTGTGTGTGTGTGTGTGTGTGTGTGTGTGTGTGTGTGTCTCTCTATCTCTCTATCTCTCTCTCTCTCTCTCTCTCTCTCTCTCTCTCTCTCTCTCTCTCTCTCTCTCTCTCTCTCTCTCTCTCTCTCTCTCTCTCTCTGTCTCTCTCTCTGTCTCTCTCTCTGTCTCTCTCTCTGTCTCTCTCTCTCTCTCTCTCTCTCTCTCTCTCTCTCTCTCTCTCTCTCTCTCTCTCTCTCTTTCTCTGTCTCTCTCTGTCTCTCTCTCTCTCTGTCTCTCTCTCTCTCTCTGTCTCTCTCTCTCTGTCTCTCTCTCTCTCTCTCTCTCTCTCTCTCTCTCTCTCTCTCTCTCTCTCTCTCTCTCTCTCTCTCTCTCTCTCTCTCTCTCTCTCTCTCTCTCTCTCTCTCTCTCTCTCTCTCTCTCTCTCTCTCTCTCCTCTCTCTCTCTCTCTCTCTATGTCTCTCGTATCCATGTGCTATATTCCTCTCTGTTGCTGTAGCTCGAGGAATTTGCAAATTCAACGTGGGCAAATTCTGTAACTTGCTTAGCCCACGGTCTCTTCAAACATTTAGCTACGTCAGCTCAGCACTGTCTCGTGTTACAGTGTCTCCCGCTGGTTAGTCATTGCCGCTGTGTTGCCGCCACTGCTACTGTTGTAGCTGCTTGTCTGGCTGATGATTCGGCATGCTCCTTGTTTCAAATCTTTATTCTCGCTTGTTGGTGGTGGTGGTGCTGCTGCTGCTGTTGCTTCTGTTGCAGGTACACTTTACTGCGTTTGTATGCTTGCTTACATGCTTGTGTGCGTGCGCGTGTGTGTGCGCTCGCTCGCGCGCCTGCACTAGTCATGTGGGGTTGGGTTTAAAAGCGTATCTCGCCCTATTTTAGCAGGGTAGCATGTGGACAAAATTTGAAATTTCAAAACCCAAAACTCCTTGAGCACAAGTGATGTGTAGCCCTGGCAACATGTTGACCCCGTTGCCATGGATATACATACTTAATATACATGTATGCGCATTTCTACACCAGCACCCGGTCACAGCAATGCAACTCTGTCCCTTGTGTATTATGTGTTTCCTACAGTACCCAATATTGGCGGGTATCTGAGGGTACCGGCTTCTACTCAAATTATCCGATACTTCTACGATACCTTGCCAGCGGAGTGCGCCATAACATTAAGGTTTGATTTGCCATTTGTGTTGCTTTCTGGTGGTATTGCTGCTGGTGCTGCTGCTGGTGCTGCTGGTACTGATCGATGGTGCTGCTGATTGTGCTGCTGCTGGTGCTGGTGTGTTTGAGGGCATAAACAAAATGTTTTGTGCATTGTCTTGTCCTGGAGCATAGAAAGATAATCCGCTGCTGAAGTGGTGCTGAGTCCAAGACAAGAGATGTGAATACCAGGAAGCACGGCACTAAAACCAAACGAAAACAATTCAAACTAAGTCTTGGAGAGAATACTATGCGTGAAGTGGATCCGGAGTTGCACACTCTTGTTTATCTACTCTTGCTAATAATATACATACAGAGCAAAAACGTCTATTTTTAAAGATGGATTAAAAGTGGCTCCTTCCAGAGGCGATATGGCATTCTGATTCGCAGACCACTGTCAGATGGCTGACGTTGGCGATGCACCGTACCTTCCGGGGTATAGCCCGCCCTGGAGTATAAATTCGACGGGTTCGCGTACCGGGCAGGTCAAGAACAAGGAGTCGTACAACTCACTGGTCAAGAACCACCTTTCCGCTTCCGTGGGACGCCACCACCCTATGATCAGGCGTCAGATGCGGCTCCTAAACGGTGGGGGAGGATAGATCAGATCCACCAACCATAGGCCAAAGGCCTAAATCCCATTTGCCACATCCTTGTTTTACTCATGCCAGGCCACGAGTTCCCAATTAACTGTGGGTCGCAGCACGGTTGGAAAAAATCCTTCCGCTTCCAAGCAGGACTTGAACCTGGTACCTCTCGTTTCTCAATCATGGTCTTAGACCAACCCACTGTGCCTGGAGTATAAACCTCTCCCAAATGTGTTGTCACGAAAAACACACCTCTACCCTGTACACTCAAACGTCTCTTATCCGGACGCCTCAGATACGGGCATGTCTCTCTACCGGGCACCTTTAGCTTGAGTTCCTAGGCTATAGCACAAATGCTTCGAATTATTTGGGGGTTTTGAACTTTTTCCGTATTCGGAAGTGCGTATTTTTCACTGCCAGCCTATGTAATGCACACATTTTTATCAATGGGTTCCTTTTGTATCCTGAACATGTGCAATACTTTCCAAATAAACTTCTTCAAAAAATGATATGATACATGGTAGATGAGTTATCCTGAGATACGGGCAAATCTGAGATACGGTCAGTGCCCGTCCCAAGGTGCCCGGATAAGAGACGTCCGAGTGTATATCAGTATTCATTTGGCCGTCGTAGTGTCAGCCGCACCGACTTCTTGGGTGTGAATTTCTAGTGGTTTTAAAAAGTGTGGCTTGTACTCCGGAAAATACGGTATTAATGCTCACCATTTTTGCGAGAAGAGCGTCTTGTGAATATTGGCCAGTGTGAAATCAAACTCCACCAGTACATGTAGGTGTATGCGTGTGGCCACAGTGTTACATGGGCTTTTGATGTTGTTAACCCGCTGGTTCTAAGAGATAGCCAACAGTGCGTGATGCGAGTATTTGCCAGCTCACAGTGTGTGTCATGGTGTGCGGTGTTGCAGAGTTATTCCAATACTGTCCTGGGACAACTCAACACTGCAGTTCCTATCCAGAGGCTCCTCTGCTACTATCACAATTGACGTTGATTTTGAGAAGAAGGCTGATGCATCCAACGCCACCGCCACAGTGGATTGTTGGATGACCGACGGATTTGACGAAAGGTCCACCAGAACCGAGTAGGTCAACGCTCTTTGCTCAAGTCTGCACACATATGCACACACACACACACACATGCACACGCACGCCCACACGTACACTCACACACTGCCTGGGTCTACGGGTAACCTGTGGGTAAGTTTTAGTGGTAGTACAGGTGGAATCCTGATAATTCGAACCTCAAAATGCCAGGAAAAAACTTCTAATTATCCGGACATTCTAATTATCCAAACATGAACTGACAACACAATATGCATGTCAAAATGCTCTCAGGGTCACGCAGAGTTGCGCTATGGACCTTAGACACATATTTCACGGATACTGAACTGACCGGCACAGCCTGCTCATGCAAACGGACCTGACTAGTACAATGTACAGTGAACTTCGAATTACACTTTGCCAACTTCGAATTATCAACACAAATCCCACACATTTTCTATGTAAGTGGAATCTGTGGGACTTCTAATTAACCCGACATAGTACATGTCCAGTTCGAGGTTCCAATTATCAGAAAGTTTTATGTGGGAATCGTATTGATAGAAATCGGTCCTGGAAAAACTTCTAATTAAACGGTATGTTCGAATTAAGCCATATTCGAATTATCAGGATTCCACCTGTATTGCTACTCCTTTGCCACTTTGTGTGGAAATAATGACGTCATATGCTAGATCTCTTTAGAATGGATGCCGACCAGTCGGCTTTTGATGGCATGATGCTGGAGGATAGCGTGTAAAACTGAATGTTGTCGTTGAGAACGACCCAAGCTTAGTGCTACCGCAAACGTAGCTGCCACGTGCGGTTGTTGTTGTTGTTTTTGTTGTCGTCGTCGTTGTTGTTGCTGCTGCTGCTGCTGCTGTTGTGGAATTTCGTCGTTTTGTTGATATTGTTGTCATTTTGCTGATGTGTGTCACACAGGCGCGTGGCTTCATCCTGGACTACCATGACAGTTGGTCTCCATCGCCCGGTCAAGCCACGGAAGCCCAGCCAAAGAATCAAACTGGCCTTGTCATTTGCCGAAGACTCGTTTGTGGATGATATCGAGATGGCGGGTTGTGGCACACAGAGTAAGTCTCAATGACTGTGCGTGAGTGGGAGTGGGGGGGGGGGGGGGGGGGGGGGTGTTTGTTCCTGGCATATCCGCAGAGCGTTAGCCAACGTCTCTAGTAATCGAATTGCTTCCGGCATCCCGCCGTCCAACTTCTAGTCTGTGTTATCACTAGAAAGACTATGCTATCACTGGGAAAGACATTCACTGGAAAAGTGGAAAGACTGTGTTAGCACTGATCCCAGGACCCTGTATGCCGTGGTGGCCTGGTACGATCTGCCAGGTTCTCGTCAAGAAATATAAAATAATGCGATTAGTACGGTAGTGTCTTGTATAGAAGCCTGTTTTGAATAGAAGCCTGATTATCAAGATACACTGTCAGCACATAAGCTTGGTTTTAGTGTTGACATACATAGAAATACCTGGTTTGAACAGAAGCCTGATGTGAATAGATGCTTAGCCCTGACGTCGGCTTCTACGGGACTAAGCCCGGCTTTTTAATACGTGACGTTACATGTATATTGGTATGTTCACAAAGTTCTCTCTTGGTTAGCTCATGGTGATGGAAGACTTTGTGAGAGCACATGTACATGTAGATGTAGCTTGCCTGTACATACCTGCCAATGGAATTGGTCTGAAAAGCGCTAGCTGCTCGTACTGTGTGTGTGTGTGTGTGTGTGTGTGTGTGTGTGTGTGTGTATGTGTGTGTGTGTGTGTGTGTGTGTGTGTGTGAGTGTGTGTGTGTGTGTGTGTGTGTGAGTGTGTGTGTGTGTGTGTGTGCTTTGTCTGGCAGGGTATTGTGAGTTTGACAATCCATGTCAGGCAGGCGGCGTGTGCGTGGAAGCGTACAATCCAAGTGGCTATGAGTGCTTGTGCCCGGAGAACCGAAGCGGCGTTCACTGCGAGAAAGGTAAGCAGTCTGGTTAACACACACCATGCATTCGCTGTGATCAAGACCAAGAATGGACGAAAACCAGCATGTGTGCGGCTTCCTTATTAGTACAGCTGCCAAATGGGAAAATCAACTTTTTCAGGGGCGTCGTTGCAGTTTAGGACCGAGCACTATATTTTAGGCTAGGATGGTAGACAAGGGTATATAAAGCACGATTGTCCTTGTTGGACATCCTGCAGACGTGCGGGAAGCTAGAAATTCCATTCCTTTTCTTCGTCGTCGGGAGTGGTAATTATTCAACGGTCGGTTGTATATTTACAATTCGTTTTGTTATTTTACGTCTCGATGTGCTAATTTTACAACACGACGTGTACATATACGTGTTATATTTGTACCGCAACTATCTCGACCACACGTTTTTCATTTGAAAATTGAAAAGCAATTATTAGTTACAATTGTAGTTGACTTCTGTACCACTCGTTTCTCAAATGGATTGGAGACTGAAATGTTCACTTGAACGTATAGTGGCTGACGAAATGAAGCCCTAGTACCAGTACGAATCGATAGGGAACGAATTTAGTAGTAGCTACTTCGAGGTTGTTTTGAGAACTCAGGAAGTAGCGTTTTCTACTACACTACTTTCAATGTTACTGGACAGCCCGAGGCAATCTGGATCACACTTCAGAAGCAAGTAAGCTGTTCATCGTTGCTGAACATAGGTACTCCGTATTGCACAGTATGAAGTAGTTTGAACATTGTATGAATGTTCTCATATCACAGCTCTAATTGCATTCACAATTAATTATGAATCATGGTAAATTTGTAACGAATCAGGTAGATGCTATACTGAATTCGAGGGAAATAAGACTAAAAAAGAGTGGCTGGTAATGAGACTGAAAGAGCTCATCACGAACTGTAACTGGTTATGGAATCTTGATTATCTAGATAACAATAATGTGATGAGTGCACGATCATAAAGGCTAGAACTTAGAAATAAATAATTTTGGAGTATGTGTGCTCACTACACTCTCCTTTTTGGTAGTCTACAGTACAAAACAGAGCAAGATGCATAATATATATCAGCTGTATGTAATATCATGTATCGCTGCTCATTTCCGTGGTAAATAGCATGCATACAACTTCATGTTGGAATGCCCCTGCATTTGCATACACGATGCCCACGCGGAAAAGCCTATAATAATAGAAAATAATAATCTATCTAAAGAAAGAAATGCTTTGTAAGCCAATATGGTTACTGTCGGGTAAGGTATACAAGTAGGGTAAAAAAACTAAAAGCGCACAGTTGATCACATGCTAGAAGACACATGAGAGCATAATAATTATTATCAGACGTGCTCGCATCATGATTTCTTGTCTTGCATCCCACGAGCTGTATGCCGCATACACTTCCATCGCATCTAAGCAAGACAGAATGACCAGAGGCATATTTCTTTAAAACCTGTATGTAATGAGGCTCTAAATATTCAACAAACACACCCTCTTCAGTCTCTTGTTACTTATCTGCTCACTGCCCTATGCCTTTTAATTAATCTTTTTCACTGCCGAGAAAACAGCACGCATCAAAAGTAGAAAACTTGCCGTACCTTCCTAATCAAAATCCGATTGGGGGTCTGAGTCTTCTTGATCTTCGGTGGCATACTCTGAAGGATCAGAATCATCACTGCTTGAGGATGGCTCGTCAGTGGGTAAATTGGTGAGGTCCTGCATTGAACAAACAGATGAATATTACCGGCCAGTACTGCAGCACGTGACTTCTTTTACAAACACACCCATGCATGCAAAACAGACACACCCACACACGCACCTAACCACACATGCACACATGCGCGCTGACACCCGTACTCACACGCACAATATCCAAGGAACATGCCAAACAAGAAAAGCTAGATATTTCAATTAACCTAAATTAGTACATGATTGTATACCTCTGCTTCAGCAGCCAGTGCAGCAGGTGGTGGTGCAGGTGCTGCTTCTGATTCTTCTGGCACCGCTAGTTCTTGAGGTAGTGTCGCTGGTCCAGGGACGGATGGTGTACCGAATGAATTCTTGCATCCTTTGCATTGGCAAATGTCGGTACAGGATAGGGTCTGACTTCGGCATGAGCACCGTCGTGTTGAGCAGCCAGTCTGGCATTTGCATGAAACTAACTTCAGTATATCTTGGGGGGCTGCTTGCTGCTCCATCCACACTATAGACAAGCCACCTACAGTTCAGCAGAGGAGTAGACAACATACATGTAGATCACCAAAACCTGGTAACAAAAATGATGGTGATTTTCACAAGGCATTTATTAGGAGAAATTTGTGCACAGCGTGTTCGTTGTGTTGATTGTTTCAATGCAATAAGTTCATTGGCATTACAGTGTCCTAGAAAAGAATACACATCATGCGGAGCAATGCTTCTCGTCTCACCTTGATCTGATACTGTCAATCCATTCCCGTCGGGGCTGGGGATCTCGGGCGATGGCTGTAAAGCCAATCGCCACACTGCTGCTTGGTAGTTTGCTCGCAGGACATGCTTCCGCAATGCATCTCGTGGTGGTGGCATATTCTGTGGTGTACTGGAGTTGTTGCGCAGCAGCTCGAAACGTACGTCATTGATATTTGACAAGCTTGCACATCCATACAATCTGGCCAAGAACACCTCACACAGCCCTTGCAGTCGTTCGTCCACATTGAAACTCTTGCCCAACTCAGCCATCGCCTCTGCCTGCGCACAGTCTTTCTTGATCAATTCCAGAGCGGCCTTCTTCCCTTTCCCTGAGAAAGCGCTAACGCTATCGCATCCGGTGAAAGCATGCAGGCCTATAAGTGCTTCAGAAGCAGCTGGACCAAGCTTTGCAGAGAGGGCACTGATGTCAACTAGCTCAGGCTTCTTCGCGGAACCAGTCTTGAAGACGAGCTGGCCATTGATAGACGTGGACAAACCAATGGCTATGACTGCAACGTCTGTGTCGGGTGAACATATGAGTGCTGACTGGAAACCATGAGATGTTGCATGGGCTGAGTGAAGCAGTAGCCTTGTGTCTGCTTCCTCATGAGTGTAGGATAGCTCTGGTATCTCGGTTGCACGAAGACATGTTGCTGTTAACGATGGTGCAGCAAGCTGAATGCAAGTGGTGCCAACTGTAATGATGACTTGCTTCTCGGTTCCCAACAAGGACACAAAGTGCTCTGATGTTTTCCAATCTTTGGCAAGGAACTGAACCAAATTCGTCTTGTTTGTACCGTTGGACAAGTACCGCTTCCATTCCTTTGGTGTGGCCTGGTCACGACGCTCTGCTCGAATCACCAGTGGATCTTGTTGCCCAGTTCTCTTCTGGCGTTCGAGCTGTTTGATCGAGATGTCCCAGTACTGGTCAGTTACAAAGTCTACACGTGACGCATTGCTTCTGACCATGTTTGCCAACAGCTGCCGGAAGGTCTGGTCACTGAGTGCACCGAATGTCGGAGGTGGGGAAGGCGTAGCTTGAAGAAGTGCCATTGCGTCAATCACAACACAGCAGCCAGCTGGCGGGTGATCTCGTAGTGCACTGTCTTTCCCCAGTGCATGTAGCAACTTGGACTTCTGCGTTGAAACCATCCCGCCATCAACAGTGGCTATTGCCCACGGAACAGGCCCGAGCTCATATTGCACTAACGTTCGCACGTCGAATGTGCGATTCTTTGCCATTATGAGGAGCTGTGTGAACAGCTGGCGGTCAGCTTTCGCGGCTTCGAACTTGGAAGTGGACTTTGCCTTCTTCTTGCTGTCTGTGAATGAAGGCAGCTTCCTCGCTGGAATCCGGTCAAAGAAACTGGCTTTGGTAGACTGTAGGCGCTCTTTGAGAAACAGCTGGAAGGCTACTTCTCCTTCTGCCTGGGCCTGCAACAACTCTGTTTGAGCAGCTGGCGTGCACACCGTTCTTGTTGAGAGGCTCACCAGCTCCTTGCCATCGAATGGACTGCCCCAATCCAGTAGCTGGTTGACGATCTTTACCACAGCTTTCTCGTCTCGGGAGATGCTGGCCACTGCTTCGTCTGGGTGGCGCGACACATCTCCAAACGCAACACCCTCGTCCATTCTGGCCAAGTCATGGCACGCTCTTACAGTTGCCGAACGCTCATGGATGGTTAATATCCAGCGATGGACAGTACCAGGATTGCGGCTGAACTCGACAATACCACCCATAGTCTTACTATCACGGTTCAGAGTCTGCTCAATAGCTTGATCCACTGGGACTTGTGCAAAGTGCCGTTCCGACCTTGCGACACAGAAGTCTCCGGACTGAAGTGCTTCATGGGCAGAAGGATTCCTTGTAGAGAGTGTGGACATGTCGGCCCAGTAATAGGTGCCATAGCGCGCATAATTTGTGTGGTTGTAAGCATAGAACCATGGCAGCATGCGGCGAATGCAGGCCAGGTGAAGGCTCCAGTCTTGTGTCCTCGTCGCACGGAGGAACAGGAAAAGAAGCTGGACCATATCCAAGTATGAGAGCCAAAGGGCCGCCATGGGCGAGGCTTTGCGCAAATCAGTAGAGTGCTTCTCAAGACGACTGGACAAGCGGCTAAAGTCGTTGCTGTTCACTATGCTGGAAACTGTTGCAGTCGCCTTCGTCTCTTGCACTTTCCGGAGCACAGCTGAAAGTCTGTCCCATTCGACAGCATCATCACTGGAGAGGTACTTATTCAGGTGCTGTAAATTCAGCCGTGTCAATGCTTCATACAGCAACTTGTGCACACGTATGGCACGATTGTAGTGCTTTCCACTGACCACACCCTTGACAGACTGTAGACCAACGATGCCTGTCATAGTTAGCAGATCAGTGAGGCCAGCTTCTGCAAAGCGCTTGCCAATGACAGACAGAAAAGAGCAGGTGGTGTGGAATGCACCTAGTCGAAGCACCACATCTGGAAAAGCATCTTTCTGCTTCCACAGCACTTCCAAGCCCTTGGCATATACAGCTTGATCAGCAGTGATTATGCAGTGCTGCTGGTTAAGCTGGCGCGATATTGCTGAAGACCGCTTCAACACCTCCAGCACTACGCCAATATCTGTTGGAGGTGCTGGAATGACGGGCAAGTAGCCAACAGCTGTGGACTTTGGTGACGTACTAATCATAGAGTTGAATCCTGACCAGCTGGGCACTGTTTGTTGAGCCTCGTCTGATTGCTCTGATGATGCATCTGGCACTGCAGGACAATTGCGCAGCAATACCCATAACATGTCAGTTTGTGCACCTATGTGGCTCGATGAGGATGGTGCTGGGTCCAGTGCTGGAAGCTGGGGTGGCTCTCTTCTCGGTCCAGACACATACTCATACTCTGCTGGTGGTGGTGCAGGTAGTGACCTTGCTGCCCTCTTGCTGCGTGTAGTAGGGGCTGTAGATGCAGATGTTGCCGGCGGATTGGTGGATGCTGGTGTAGAAGATTCGTGCTGCCTTTGAAGGACAATGCCGTTGGTGCAGTGTGTTGTGCCTTCTCCGGTAACCGTTTCCTCGCAAAGGTCATTGTTGTCCCAACAAAAGAAAACATTCTTTGTCGGGTCAATAACGCTGGGCACAAACACGTCGGTGTCCAATGCCTCTTTTGCCAGCGAGGTCTCGATCTCAGAGAGCTTAGTGTCGGAAACACCGTGTCCGAAACGATTAAGTGTAGTCACTAACTGCTGGCTTCTGGTCAGGTGGCGGACTGTCATAGGAAGAGCAACACTCTTAGGTGTTATGATGCGGCCTCTTGTCGCGGCATACACAATATCTTCCCCAAGAGACAAGACCTTGGCTCTCTTAGGCGCATCCAGCTTAGCTCTTTTCACCACACTGTCACAATCCTCGATGTCTCCCACACCAAGCACCCATGCCAGGAAGTTGTAAAGACTATCTGGCACGCACCGACTGGCATTCTCCTCAGTGAGGTCAGATGCGTGTGGAATGTCAGGCAGGATGGGGGAGATAGCTTTGATGTCACTTCTGACTTGTAAGGCAGCATGGAAAATGTCATGAGCCATTGACATGGGTGGCTCATCCACAGCAAATACATCACTATCACTGCTGTCGGTCTCTTGTGATTGGGCACTGCCACGAGTTACAGCTTCCGCCAGGACAGTTGCCAAACTTGGTGGCGTGAGAGTTGCCGGGACAAGTGACTCAGGCTCTGTCACTGACTGTCTGACGAACATGACCCTATCATTGAAATGATCCACAATTCTCTTCTTCAAGAGGAATGTGCGATAGCTACTTGTGACACCCAGGTCTCTCAGCTTCTCCTGGTACTTGCTCGTCAAACAATCCATTCGTATAGCCTTCACAGCACTCCCCGTGGAGAAGAGGTCATTTTCAATATGTCCAGCAAGCCAGTTGAAAGCCTACTGGAACGTTTCCCGGAGGGAAATAGTCGGGCCCTTTTCGGCACTTGTGTTCGCAACGGTTTTCCCATGCGTGTAGTTGCGGTAGCACGAGTGGTGGTACAGAAACTCAGCTGCAATGCAATCCGGGCCACCTTCCTGGAACAGCAGCTGAATCCTCTGATCCTGGTACGCCACTGCTGCGACTAGGATTTTCTCCCCGGCCTCAAATGTGTGGCATTGCGTAAGCTTTTCCACTTTACCATTGACGCGTTTGTCAGAGGATCTCTGCCAAAACAGACATAGCTGCATGTTGGTTTTGGGGAGGGCGCTTCGTGTTGAGCGCCTCTTACTGGGATTGCTGTCTGCAGCAGACTCACACTCGTCGGTATTCTGCTGGGGCTGATCATTTTCCTTTCCCTGCTGCTCACATCTTAGCTTATTTATGCTCTTTTTGTGTGTGTATGAGGCGTAACATCGTCTGTGACACCAGCCACGACACGGCGCACACTCTTCCGCACAGTTCTGAGCCAGGAGAAAATCCCATGTGGAGTCCTGTCGAACTCGAGCAGCTGCCACAACTCTGCTATAGCTGATATCCGACAAAGACACTCGAGCATCGTCACGCACGTCCACACAGTGGCACAAACAAGAATCCCACGATTTGGCAACATTACTTCCGTCTGGCACCACTACGAAGCTACTGCCTTCGAGAGGATTACTGGGCGCATCCTGGCTCGCCATGAGTCCTACTTACTCATGATCGAACACCATCCGCTCTGCCATAACTAAAACAAGAGCCCAGGGACTTCGCGCCTGTCCTAACTGCAATACCAAGTGGATGTACGTGTGGTTTGTATTTGTGTTGTATCTGCATAATTTCAAAATTCAGCGTCGTCCTCTTCTTCTATGCATTCAAATTCAGCGTCGTCCTCTTCTTTCCTGCTCAACATGACCTCAAATGCGAGACTGCGTGTGCGTACTCAATGCTCATATCCTTTCCCAGCCTGGAAGAAACCCCTTATAAAGAAGCTGTCGCAATGTTGACAAGTAGCCAACAGGTCGGGCCATGTATAGAATGGGTTGTAGTAGCCATCTACGCTCGAAGTAGGTACTCGGACCTACACTGCAACGCAAAAACGAGATTTCACTTTTGGCAGCTGTACTATATGCGTGTGTGCCATGGCATGATTCCTGCCTTACATGATACTTGAGGCGAATACACGACGGGAAAGGGTAGTGCATACAACTCAGCCGCAGTTATGCAGTTGAAGGGGAACTGGAGAGAGCGTGACGGGGAGGGGAGGGGAAGGTGTTCGGGGACAATGCACTACTACCCAATGTACATATGCCAGAGTTTGCAACTCCGCATATGCACTCGGGACAGCTCAAATGGGGGAGGGGGAGGAAGCTGAGGGAGGGGTGTTCAGTGATTAACCTATATGAACACCAACTATGTCTTCATGCTTTCTCGTTTTCTTCACAACCATCTTGACCGTATTACCTTTCTTCCTTGACAGTTTGTGGAAATCCAACAACTACACCAACAACCACTCCGACAGCCATGCCAACAACAGTCGCTATAAGCAGTAAGTTTTCATCATGGGAATGCTCGTCCTCTCCTGATGTGTTCTCCTTTGCATCCGCTTGTTTTTCTTGATGCTTAGTTGAAAGCAAACATCCATACCCAGTGGAACAATGCTCCTTTTTGTTATGGTCCCGTTGCACTTGCCCGTACATGGATACCACTCTCCATTTACTCTGCACTCTCATCAGCATTACACCTTTCCTGCCAACATTGAAGACAGGAAGGCACATAAGACAATTTCTTCCTGTTTATCTATCAATCTTTTTGTCTGTCCATCTAACGTAGGGAATCCGTGCGCCTGCAAGAATGCTGGTGTTTGCAACACTTTGAACGGATATTGCAAGTGCTCACCAAACTTTGCTGGAGCCAAGTGTCAAGGTACTTACTACAGTGGATGAGTGTGCGGCTCTACTCAACTGTGTCTTCATTTCTTCATAGTCTTTTTACACTAAGAAGGTGGTGGCCACCACACAACTGCATTATAAAGAAAAGGAGGTTTGTCAACTGACACCCGCGCTATTCAGTTGCTATTCATACTCGGCGCATGCGCTGGATGAATTTTTTATTTATTTGTGATGTCGAAAAATTATGATGTTTCGGGCCAGTCACCCATTGCCAGAAGAGTGTCTTTATACAAATAAACATTCTCACTGAGCTTATAGAAAAGCCATGGACGTTCTTAGTTTGCCTCTACAGAAGCATGAAAGTAAGGACTTGGACATTTTTAGAAGTGCTGTACGAGCGTGAGCCCTACGAATTTACTTTACTTGAACATGGAAGGCACCATAGCACAATTAATATTTGTATTGAAAGTTTCAACGTGAGTTACACAACTCCTACTCTTCGCCCGAGGCTTATCTCTATACCCACACCATTGTACATAAGTGATTCACTGCGAAAACAAATGCAAGTATCAATAATAATGGACTCGGATGGAGAGCCAAGGATTAATTTATAAGAAAGAAAAAGGACCAAGGAGGTAAAAGTTACGCTATAATGTCCACCAACACCACCAGTTACTAAACAATCAGCTCATGCGATAACATTGCACAACACTGACCGACGGTACTGGTGATACTGACTTTTAGCTCCTTGGTCCTTTTTCTTTCTTATAAATGCAAGTATCAGTTATGATAATAATAATAAAAAAATACGCACTACTGATAGTACACTCATACCTTGGCTATCCGTACCCCCAAGTTACGGGCACTTCGGTCTACTAGGCACCCTTTGGGTGAGTTTTAGTGGAAATATTACTAATCTTTTGTCACTTTTGTGGATATAGTGATGTCATATGCCATATTTGCCCATTGTAACATACAGGATTGGTTTTGTTTCTGTTTTGTTGGGTGAGTTTTAGTGGAAATATTACTACTCTTTTATCACTTTTGTGGAAATAGTGATGTCATATGCCATATTTGCCCATTGTAACATACAGGATTGGTTTTGTTTCTGTTTCGTTGCGGCTGAATGATGGCCTCCGCCTCTGCTGTGTTGTTCTGGTGCGTGCATGCATACAGTGTGTGCGTTTGCCTACTCTGGAGTGAACTGTTCCATTCGCTGCTCGTGCTTGAACGGCGGAGAGTGCGACGTCGGGTCTTCCGTTTGCAGATGTCGGCCGGGTTTTCATGGAGTGATGTGCGAGAACAGTAAGTGACTGTGATTCATGCGACCATTCCGGTGACATCTCCAGTACTAGTACTGTTTATACTGACGTACTGTTAGAACCAGTCACTATTATCACACACCCCTATATCTTGCCATCACACGGCGGCATGAACGGGGTATTTTAATTGACTTACGTGCAAAGTAAGTCACTGTGATTCAGTCAATCATTCAAAGTGACATCTCCACAACTGTTTACTGCATACAAACATGTATTCGGAACGTGTTCATTTAGGTTCAGATCGGTAACGTGTTGAAAACAGGGGGTATCGTTCCACTTACCGGTACGCTACTGTTAGAGTTGAATCTCTAGCGGGGCACACAACATAGCGTTTCAATGAGAAAATCCATTGTCAGCTCAAGATACATACCTGTATTCTATTCCTGCTCTCCTCTGTACTAGAGAAATAGAAGACAGGTGCGTGACAGAACTTTGTGCCCGGGAATTGGGAAAAAATTAAAACTCTTTGAACTTTAGACTCTTTCAACTCTTACAATATACTGTAATTCAAAACGGCTTGTACTTCATTTCACTAACATCACGTCTTGCTATATATTTATCTTGTTCTCTGGCAGAATGTTCTCCAGGTACTTGGGGAGCAGGCTGTACAAATATATGCCAATGTCAGAATGGTGCACGGTGCGACGGGGGAACTGGCTGCCAATGTGTACTGGGTTACACTGGAAGATACTGTTCTACGCGTAAGTCTCGGTGGAAACCAAACTTGCAAGTCTCTCTCAGTCTCACACATGCACACATACTCTCTCTCTCTCTCTCTCTCTCTCTCTCTCTCTCTCTCTCTCTCTCTCTCGCTCTCTCTCTCTCGCTCTCTCTCTTTCTCTCTCTCTGTCTCTCTCTCTCTGTCTCTCTCTCTCTCTCTCTCTCTCTCTCTCTCTCTCTCTCTCTCTCTCTCTCTCTCTCTCTCTCTCTCTCTCTCTCTCTCTCTCTCTCTCTCTCTCTCTCTGTCTCTCTCTCTCTGTCTCTCTCTCTCTTCCTCTGTCTCTCTCTGTCTGTTTCTCTCGTATGTGAGTCCGCCACACACTGTGCAAAGCTCGTTACCTATGTCTCGTACCGTATTTTCCGGAGTATAAACCGCACTGTAAACACCAGTAATTCACTCAAAGAAAGTCAGGGTGGCTTATACAGCTGTACTACGAGTACGATGGTCAACTTAACAGGTAATGACCTAGATAATACTAGATATCTGTATTTCGTGACAACAAAACAAAACCTGGGTGCTTATACTCCAGTGTGGCTTATACTCCAGTGTGGCTTATCTCCTAATTTGTTAAATCCTATATACAGGATTTTGGTCATATTTTTCAGCTCAAAATGGGTGTGGCATGAGAATAGCAAAAAGTATGTGACCAATTCTTCCTTGCTAGGTCTTAGTAGATATCGAGAGTTGAATAAGATAATTTTTTCAAACATTACATCTCAGGCTCATCTCCTTGCCCAATATTACTAAGGCCTGTGCCCTATTTTACGATTCCTATATATGGGATTTGAGATTAATATTATTTTTATTGGACCTTGTTTTATCCTTAAAACTGGTAGTTTCATGACGGCATGTGCGATATGTCGTCAAGAAACCACCCCGTGCCACACCTGCAATGTTCTTCTGCACATTCACTGCTTCAGTCCTTTCCATGACAGCAGCTGAACAATTATGCTCAAATTTTCAATTATTGCTGAAAATGGGTATTCATCAGAAATATTATCGCCCTATGAATCTAAAATGTAAACATTCATGCCTCAAACATATTTTACAACTTCCATGAAAACCATTATGCCGTTATTATTGGTCGTGATGACCAATAACAACGGCATAAAAGGCACACATTTTCAAATCCTATACAGGTCGTCCCTCGTTAATACATAATCTCTGGGACAAATGTTATGTATTAACGGGGTTTATGTACTAAACGAAAGTGTACATAACTTGCTTCTATACTAGAATTTTTCACTTTTTTCAACTTTTCTGAGTGTTTCTTGCTGCCATGACTAGGGAGCGAGATATTCTTGATTCCCTCGATATAACATAAAATTATGTTATAACGGTCACAGTCAGCGAAGATTCTACAGTTTACATGATACATGCCCAGCGCCTGTACAGTCACTCGGAAAAAAAACAGAGCTTTGTCAGTTTGTGATGTGCGCTCTGATTTCTGAGCTAATTGCGTCCACAAGTAGAAACTAGAACACGACGTGCCCCCACTGGAAGGCCAAAAGACCAACAAATTATGTACTATTGAGGTAGGTGGCATGCGGGTACGGAGAAATGTTATGTACTAACGGGGTTTATGTACTAACGAATTATGTACTAACCGACAAAATTTGTATGGAAGTGACCACGTTTCGTCCGGGACTTGAGATTTCTTATGTACTAACGGGGTTTATGTACTAACCGGACTCGTATTAACGGGGGACGACCTGTATATAGGATTTTTGGCCAGCAAATTAAGAGATACTCCAGTGTGGCTTATACTCCAGTGTGGCTTATACTCCAGTGTGGCTTATACTCCAGTGTGGCTTATACTCCGGAAAATACAGTTCCTATGTATAACGTCATAGCTGTCTGTCGTGGGTGCACTAAGCGCTGCATCTGCATCTTGATCCCCGAGTATCGTGGCGCTCCTACGGATGCTGACCACTCAGTCCGCCTCACTAACTTACACGTTGTGTGTGTGTGCCTGTCTGTGTGTGTGTGTGTGTGTGTGTGTGTGTGTGTGTGTCTGTGTGCATGTACGTATGTGTCTCTGGTACATGCTTCACTGTGCCGTGTACGTATGTCATGTGTGGTGCGTGTTCCGTGTCTTTACAGGTATCTCCTGTCCAAAGTTGACTCTATCTGCCAACGTCTTACTACACCAACCTGGTGGCAGTGGCTTTTTGAATGTGACCACGACCCGTTGCCCTGACAACTGGTTGTGGGTGAACGGCAGTCATCAACGAGTATGCCAGGCTGATGGTACATGGTCAGGTCCTGCTGCATCCTGTCAGCCTCCCTCTACTAACAGTCCTGGCACAACTGCCGCTCCTCAAGTTCAGATGTGTTCTGAAGGAACCATTGATGGTCTTCAAGGAAAGTTTGTGTGGCCTGTGACAGTGGCTGGTGTCAAAAGAACTGTTGTATGTCCAGTGCTGGTGGCTGATGAACCTGTTGTCCTTGCTGAGCGGAAATGTGCCATGAAAGGCAACAGAGCACGATGGGAGAATCCGGAGATCGAAGGCTGTCCGTATGCAAAAGCCAGGACACGCAAGCTACGACGGTTAGTCTCTGGCGAGCTCAAAGAGAATCGCACGCTAGTCGGAGTGTGTGCTGCTGCCAATGATCTCACTGCATTGCTGGAGGAGGACAGTGAAGTCACTTCAGCGGATGCTGGCCTGTCAGGAGAGTTGCTGGGGCATCTCGTCGCCTCGATGGTGAGTTTGCTGACGACGACTTCATCTGATGAAACGATTGTAAAAGGCACCATACCAACATTCCTCGCTGTATTTGATACCGTTGAAGCCTCTGCCAGTAAACCCTCATCTATGGATGCTGGTGCTATGAAGCAGAAACAGAGTGACCAGCGTGAGTTGCGCAGCATGCTGGAAGACCTCGCACTTGCAGTGCCGTTAGCAGAGGAGCATAAGACATTCTCCTTCCAGTCCAAGCGTGTTATCATGTCAGGTGTGTGTCCGAAACTTGGAAATAGCTATTTGTTCACAGTTGAGAATGCACGCACTGGCAACACTTCTACTGGGGCTCGTTCAGCAAACATCACAGCCTTGGGATCAGCGAATGCTACCGATGTTGATACTGCAGCCATGATGGATACTGCAGCCATGATGGATACTGCAGCAGCCATGATGGATACGAATTTGAAGTTTACATTCCCATCCGCAGCTGTGCAGAAGGCAAAGGAACGTCATACTTCGCCACAGATTACGTTTTCCTGTCAGGTTCCACAGATCTCACTTGTCTCCTTTCCGCCTGAAGATGACTTCAACAGTAGTGATGCTGTTAGCGGTGATCAAGTTGCAACGTCTGTTGTAGCAGCCAGTGTGGGTAGCAGGGATGATAGCTTGCAGCTGGGTTTGAGTCAAGTACAAATGACTATGCCTATTCGTCTGGCAAGTGATGATCTGGAGGAAAGAAATCTCACCTGTAGCTATTGGAATGATACAACTTTTTCATGGAGACAAGATGGCTGTCGACTTGTGAATGTGACGAGGAGCAAAGATGGAGAGATGTTAGCTCATTGCGAGTGTAATCACTTGACAAACTTTGCCGTACTTGTTACGCCTCCCAATGCAGAATCGATTGGGGCGTCTGCTGCTGATGAAAAGGCTTTGTTCTTCATCTCCGTCATCGGTTGTAGCCTTTCTGTCGTATGTCTTATACTGACTGTGTCTATCATCCAATGCACAAGAAATCAAAAGAGAACTCTCCAGCATGAGTTGACGACGTGTCTCTCTGTGTCTCTCCTGTGCACTCTGTTGCTGTATATTGCTAATGCACTTGGATTGCAAGGACAACATGCGTGGGTCTGCTTCACCGCAGCTATTCTACTGCACTTCTGGCTGCTGGCGGCATTCGGGTTTACGCTTGTGATGGCCTACTATCTGTACCGGCGTCTCGTAGCTGTTCTGGTGGAGGTTGGTGAGAGTTTCCTGAAGCGTTCCATCACTGCTGTCGGCGTTGGCTGTGCTGCACTTGTGGGTGTGAACGTAGCTGCGTTCAAACCTGACGTGTATGGAAGCAGCAGTGGCGGCCTATGCTTCCTGTCAGTAAGACTGTCGTTCTACATCACGTTCATAGCACCTATTGTCCTCACGCTGCTTACGAACGTGTGCGTGCTGGTTGCGTCGATGAACAAAGTGCGCCAGCACTACAGGAACAGCGGTTCAGACAAACGCAGGATCTGGATCCTGACTAAGATGGTCTTCTCCATGACATTTCTGCTTGGTCTCACCTGGTTGTTTGGTGCTGTGGTGACAATCTGGCCGCACGTTGTTTTCCAGTACATTTTCACCATTCTCAACACACTGCAAGGAGTCGGAGTGTTTGTCTTCCACCTCATGTCTAATCCCGATACCGTTTCTGGGCTCAAATCTACCTACCGTACGATTTACAGAGGCACCGGATCTCTTCTTGGCCGAGTCACAAACTTCTCGTCGGCGCCGTCACCTAGCTTGTCGCAGACACCTCCGTCAGTTGCTGCTCCACTCTCCATTGAGGTGGACCCGCTCCAGTTTGCAGAGGCGCAATCCATTGACCCGATGGCATCATCAACAACATCAGCACCATCACCATCTGCAGTGTGCGGCAAATCACCGTCCCAGGGTTCACCCCTGCTGGCGACGCACACCAACACGAGATGGGCAGAGCAGCAGAAGTTAAATCTGCGTGTGTCTACCATTAGCACGGTCACGACTGGCAGCGTAACTAGTAACGACGGTATCATGATGCACGCATACCTAGGCCACACAATGTGCTTCAGAATGCGGCCAGGCGTCAAAACGGTGTGTGTCGACCGCGATATTGCAGGTGTACCCCGGTCACCTGCCGTCAGTTATCCAGAGCAGGAGGACCGCAGGCCGTCAACACTTACACCTCTCTCTCTCTCTCTCTCTCTCTCTCTCTCTCTCTCTCTCTCTCTCTCTCTCTCTCTCTCTCTCTCTCTCTCTCTCTCTCTCTCTCTCTCTCTCTCTCTCTCTCTCTCTCTCTCACACACACACACACACACACACAACATACACACACACACACACACACACACACACACACACACACACACACACACACACACACACACACACACACACACACACACACATACACACACACACACACACAGCAGTAGGGTGCAATGTATAATTATATGCCGGGACTTCCACTCCCAGTACTCCATTTTGAGGCTAGACACAGCTCTTCAACTTATGAGCACCTGGCTATTATTAAACCCGTAGCAGCACAACGTCTCTCTAGGACCATGTGCCCTGTTTTTCTGTACCTTGACGTCATGTGTGTACAGTACACTAGGGTGCACCTAATTCCGGCCTCTTTTCCGACACGTTTTTATAGTAGTACTAATTATCTTTATTAGGATGACCAAGGGCTTGTCGCCTTTTTCTTTTTCTTTTCTTTTTTTACGTATTTTTGACAATTCCATTTTGCTTCTTTTTAGAATTTTTAACCACTGGCTTTTTTTTAATTACATTTTTTGATAGGGCAATCCCCACAGGCCTAAGGCCTGGCTTCAGAAACTTACTTCTGTAGTTGGTTTTTATTTCCCTTTTGGAATTTTAAGTTATTTTTAACCTTGCTTCAGAAAGCCTGGGGGCCATCAAAAAGCAGAATTTGGCTGTGAAGTTCACATGCTTATTTTGCTTCAATTTTATCTTTTTATTTTGACTGCATGCGTCGGCCCTTGCTCCATCCCCTCCAGTCTCTCAGTACCTTAACCTGAAATGTAATCATACTGCAATGTAACAATTCTAACAATGAGTTCCACCCGTGTTACGATCGATACATTTAACTGAGGAACGCGTGGCGTGGCGCCAACGGGGTGGGGGTCACTTTTTCAAGTTCAACATGAAGCTTGAGTCTAATAACTTGCTGCCATTCAGATTTGTTTCTCTTTACCCCACCCTGTGTACGTTATCATTGCCTCTTGTAATTTGTCATTATGCATTCACGTGTTTTTGCTTACTGCCATGGCTGGCTATCGCCCCCCCCCCCCCCCCCCTCCCTCCAGATTGGCCTACATTCCCTGGCCACGGGAAGGTGAAATAATATTAATAACATGGATCCAGCGAATGGGATTTTCGGTCTTTAACCACTTTGGTGGTGGGTTTGATCTGCTGCCCTCCTACCGCTTTAGGAGCTGCTGCACCTGCGCCTTGTGGCTTGATGAGGTGGCGTTGGCATTCCCGGGATTTGGAAAACTCAGCCTGCCCTGAGTTAGTCTCACGCGAGCCGTGATTACGATCATTATCATAATCTACACTTCTAACGTAACGTCGTTATAGGGCGGTGCAGACTCCGATTTCCCTTTGTTCTTTGTCCGTCTACCCTTGCCTACAATAGGGCTTGAACGTGATGACGTCAAAAACGCCCAGGGAGTAGTAAGTTGACATCAGATTTCTATTTTGGATCATTAGGTGTGACTTTGCTATTGCCTAAGTATGTGGGTGCATAGCAACCCACTCATGTCGCATGCAGGTGTGACTTTTATTTCGCCACCAGTTGTCACCCCGCCCCCATTAGCCAAATCAGTCAGTTTCATTGGCTACATCACCTTAGTGTGAGTAAGATCGCTTGAAATGTGCTTGGATCCAAAAGCAAAGACACATCAAAATCGTTGTTTCTCTTCCAAACCTCCCTCTTATGGAACTGCCCTCCCACCAAGACTAACTGCAGAACCATCCATTATTGTTTTCAAGAATGAGCTTCGCAAACTCACTTGCAACATAGTGCTTCGCTCTCCGGTAATGCCTACGCCATGTACATACCCCCCCCCCCCCCCCCCCCCCCCCCCCCCCTGTGTGCTCCCCAACGCATTCACGCTGCACAACTTTCACTACTTTCACTTTAGCTCAACATGTACATCCTTCAAAGCGGTGAACCCCTTGCATAGGCGACAAGCCTCTGGGTCATCCTATAAAGATATTATTATTATCATACAAAAACTGGATCCAAGTGGATCCAGTTTTTGAATTTTTGAAATTGTTGCTATGCTGTGACGTAGCACTTTCAAGCCCTATGGCGACGATAACAACAGCGGCGACAACGCTAATTTTTGCGTTCTCTGAATCTGGACGAATTCGCGACGAAATATTTTAGCGATCTGAGTTTCAAAAGAAAGCGTGTGTTCCTTCGTTGGAACAACCAACTACTTCATCACAATGTAAATGCCGCCGAAGTCGCATTTTCTATTAAAGCTAAGTTCTGAGTTAGCTACAAAAATATGACTATAAAGGCATATACACTGTGCTTACCACCGGCGTTCAAATAGGCTGTTCGACAGTACCGTATTAAGAGTACATAACCCCTGGGGTTCATGTACTCTTGGTATTACGGAGCCGGATTAGCAAGACGAAATTCGCGTTCGTGTTCGCGAACATATTTGCACCCGTATAACTCCAAACTCCGTGCCCCGTGTGTTGGTGTACTTCGTAGCGGTGTAGCATCTGCTGTGCATGTGGGATGTGGGCTAAACTGCCTTTACACAATGTACATACGTCGTGTCAACGTCATGCATGTGCGAATTCTGTTTGCTAATCCTTCTCATAACGTGAATTCCGTCACCGAGTTTGACTTTCCTTGCAGTGCGAACAAGAACGTGAATTTCGTCTTGCAAATCCTCCGTATTATCAAAAATCCGGGCACAGCTTATACTCAGTGTGGCTTACTGCGGAAAATAATTATGGCGTACTACGTTCAAACACAAACACACTTGTACTTGCTCACTGCCAAAACTGGTCAAGTGGGTCTCTCTCCGGAAGAGGGGAGAGGGGACTCAAACATCATCTGAACTCATAGATTATCCTCCGAGCGTTGATAGGCGGGCCATCCATCCTTTGGCCTAGAATCATCTTTTTTAGATTAAAATAAAGATATTATTATTACAATTCAGGCTGCGATGCTGAGTGATAGGGCGGGAAGGGGATAGAGACGCACACACACAAGGGTATGCAGTCACTATAATAAAAAAGCATTACGAAGCAAATAGGCGCATGACTTCAAGAGCTTTCTGAAGCCAAGTGCTAAAAATTCTCTTTCGAAAAATTCTGAAAGAAAATAAACGAGCTGTCAGAAAAGACTGTAATTAGGGGCAGCTTTGAAATACTTGTCGTCGAGGTACAGATAACGGGGGATATGATCCCAGAGAGACAAGTCGGTGCCGCGGGTTAGCCACGTTTTAAGCTGAGATTATGCTAAATTATGATAGAACACTTAGCAAAGATCGAGTTTCGTCCAACATCAGAATGGAATACTGGATGTGAACTATGCGGCACTCTATTAACCGCTTGTTGTTGCATGCTAGCGCTGTGTTACCATGGTTACTTAGCGTGGTCATCACGTACTCTGGAGAGAGAGAGAGAGAGAGAGAGAGAGAGAGAGAGAGAGAGAGACAGAGAGAGAGAGACAGAGAGAGAGAGACAGAGAGACAGAGAGAGAGAGAGAGAAGAGAGAGAGAGAGAGAGAGAGAGAGAGAGAGAGAGAGAGAGAGAGAGAGAGAGAGAGAGAGAGAGAGAAGAGAGAGAGAGAGAGAGAGAGAGAGAGAGAGAGAGAGAGAGAGAGAGGAGAGAGAGAGAGAGAGAGAGAGAGAGAGAGAGACAGAGAGAGACAGAGAGATAGAGATAGAGAGAGACAGAGACAGAGACAGAGACAGAGACAGAGACAGAGACAGAGACAGAGAGAGAGAGAGAGAGAGAGAGAGAGAGAAGAGAGAGAGAGAGAGAGAGAGGAGAGAGAGAGAGAGAGAGAGAGAGAGACAGAGACAGAGACAGAGACAGAGAGAGAGAGAGAGAGAGAGAGAGAGAGAGAGAGAGAGAGAGAGAGAGAGAGAGAGAGAGAGAGAGAGAGAGAGAGAGAGAGAGAGAGAGAGAAAGAGAGATAGAGATAGAGAGAGATAGAGATAGAGAGAGAGAGAGAGAGAGAGAGAGAGAGAGAGAGAGAGAGTCCCGTGCTAGCTGACTACCGGTGAGGCTGCCACCGCTTGGCACAAGTGACTCCAGGTGGACAGAAGCGACACATGCATGATGGATGCATGGGTGGCCAGCGTGCCATCCTGTCGATCGGCCTTCTACAGCCAACTACATGTCCTAGTACACATGGCTGAGGATGCCATCACTGCTAGTTAAGGAGAGACGGAGGCTTCGGCTGGAGGCCGGGCGGCATGGCCTTGTTTCAACCGAGATTGCGGGGGAGGAATGTGCGCTGCGTCTGCAGCCCGAGGCAGATGGCGACGTCACTGGCGACGTCACTGGCGACATGCACTCAACTTTGCTACTTACTCCAACCATGGAGTCCAACTCGACGGAGAGTGGTGCCACAATCTCTGCAATTGAAGCTGATTTGGACACATCGGGCGATGCTGACGACGTGAAAGTTGTGACTCGGCTGATGAAAGACCCAGTGCCTCTGGACAGGGTGCGGTAGGTGGATTTGAGCCCAGTAACAGCTTCGGGATTAGTCGTGAGGTGGAAGATAAACACTCCGACTCCTTGCAGTGTGTTGAGAATGGTGAAAATGTACTGGAAAACAACGTGCGGCCAGATTGTCACCACCGCACCAAACAACCAGGTGAGACCAAGCAGGAACGTCATGGAGAAGACCATCTTAGTCAGGATCCAGATCATGCGTTTGTCTGAACCACTGTTCTTGTAGTGCTGGCGCACTTTGTTCATCGACACAACCAGCACGCACGCGTTCGTAAGCAGCGTGAGGACAATAGGTGCTATGAACGTGATGTAGAACGACAGTCTTACAGACAGGAAGCATAGTCCGCCACTGCTGCTTCCATACACGTCAGGTTTGAACGCAGCTACGTTCACACCCACAAGCGCAGCACAGCCAACACACACAGCAGTGATGGAACGCTGCAGGAAAGTCTCACCGACGTCCACCAGAACAGCTATGAGACGCCGGTACAGATAGTACGCCATCACAAGCGTAAAACCGAATGCTGCCAGAAGAAAGTAGTGGAGTAGAATGGCAAAGCTGAAACAGGCCCACCTATCCTCTCCTTGCAATCTAAGTGCATTAGCAATGTACAGCAACAGAGCAAGGAGGAGAGACACAGAGAGACACGTCGTCAGCTGATGCTGGAGAGTTCTCTTTTGATTTCTCGTGCATTGGATGAAAAACACAGTCAGTGTCAGACATACGACAGACAGGCTACAACCGATGACGGAGATGAAGAACAAAGCCTTTTGATCAGCAGCGGACGCGCTAACAGATTCTGCATTGGGAGGTGTAACAAGTACGGCAAAGTGTGTCAAGTGGTTACATTCGCAACGAGCCATCATCTCTCCATCTTTGCTCCTCGTCACATTCACAAGTCGACAGCCATCTTGTCTCCATGACAGCGTTGTCTCATTCCAATAGCGACATGTGAGATTTCTTTCCTTCAGATCATCACTTGCCAGATGAATAGGCATTGTCATTTGTACTTGACTCAAACCCAGCTGCAAGCTATCTTCCCTGCTACCTACACTGGCTGCTACAACAGACGTTGCAACTTGATCACCGCTAACAGCATCACTACTGTTGAAGTCATCTTCAGACGGAAAGGAGACAAGTGAGATCTGTGGAGCCTGACAGGCAAACGTAGTCTGTGGCGAAGTATGACGTTCCTTTGCCTTCTGCACAGCTGCGGATGGGAATGTAAACATCAAATCGTTCTTCTCATTCACATCCACCATGGCTGCAGTGTTAATGTCGGTAGCATTCGCTGACCCCAAAGTTGTGATGTTTGCTGAACGAGCCCCAGTAGAAGTGTTGCC